GCCCTTGGCCGGAATCGAACATGGGACCCTTCAGTCCCCAGGTCGACGCTCTATCCACTGAGCCAAGCCAGCTAGGGCCATTGTTACACTTTAATGTGTTCTAGGATATTGTGCCTTATTCTTTTTAAAGATGGGAGTTTATTTGTCCCGTAAACAAAACTAACCAAACAACCCTTTTGATATTTAGTTACTTGAATACTCTTAAATTAAAATACGTGTTGCAGTAGTAGTGAAAATGGTAAATGGGGGTGGGGATCAAGAGAAAAAAGATTCATGCATGGTCTGTTAATGTTACAGATGTGGGAAGAATATCCGGATGTTTATGGGGTTAGGCGGTCAAACCGAAGCAGACAAGAACCATCACGATTTAATATTAAGGAGGAGGTAAGAAAAAGAAATGTTTTAAGGGGGGTCGCGACCCACAGGTTGAGAACTGCTGTCCTAACGCCTCTGGTTGGACCTTCTGTCTTCTGCCTCTCAGATCATTCCAAGGCCATTATGGGCTTTCCACCTTCGTAAGCGGAAGACGCGGGGTCACAGGATTACATCGGAGTCTAGTTCTGGAATGCCTGTTCCTGGGCCATCTCCCTTGTTCTCTTGGGAGGCCTCGTTTTCGGTAGCTGACTCGGGTTTTTAATATATTTTATTGATTTTTTACAGAGAGGAAGGGAGAGGGATAGAGAGTTAGAAACATCGATCAGCCGCCTCCTGCAAACCCTTTTGATATTTAGTTACTTGAATGCTCTTGAATTAAAATACGTGTTGCAGTAGTAGTGAAAATGGTAAATGGGGGTGGGGATCAAGAGAAAAAAGATTCATGCATGGTCTGTTAATGTTACAGATGTGGGAAGAATATCCGGATGTTTATGGGGTTAGGCGGTCAAACCGAAGCAGACAAGAACCATCACGATTTAATATTAAGGAGGAGGTAAGAAAAAGAAATGTTTTAAGGGGGTATATTGAAGCTCCTTACCTTACCTTATCCTTTCCGTCTCTGGTATGTATTGCCATGAACAAAGACTCAACATCAGGGTGGGAGTTAAATGACTAATGAGAGTTTTCTTGACCTAGCACAGCAAGGAAAGCCACATGGGGCTTTAGAAAAAGAAACTTACCAGAAAGAACATGTAATAGTGAATGTTTCAGTAGAGGGTTAAGATTATTATACAGAACTGGCCTTAAATTTTTAAATTTTTTTGACGTTTCTCATAGTGAAATTGATTGTAGTAAGATATTTACTTTTTTTAAATATAAAGGTTGTAAATCTCCTACTTTTTTTGTTCAATGAGTAACTTACCTGGTAAACAAATACAGAACAATGGAACTAGTTTCAGGTGTATTTCTGAGAAAAGAGTTTACTTCACATACGTAATGTATTTTAACTCATTTCTTTACATTTGGTTTCCTAGCTCATGTTTAGTGTGCCGTATAAAATGTTTCACACGGATTTACTCTGGTCAATTGTGAGAGATGGGTGGTTTCTAAAATGAGTACTATTTACTGGGTTCTGTGGTTTCTACAGAATCAGACTTTTCTCCATTTGTGATATATTTGTGGATTCTTACCTCTGTGTTAGGTTTATAGATTCCATTCTGAAGAGATACTTTTTTTGTCTCAGGGAAGTGACCCCTGTCTTTGCCATTCTTAACAATATATCATCCTTCTGCTAAAAGTTAAATATTGATAGCCAAAGGTTAGTGAGTTGGGGTGGATTTTAGTTAATTGGTTTTAAAAATCTAATTGGCCATAACATTGGCATTGCCTTTACGGTGTTTTATTTTGACCTCTGAGCTGGTTTGCCTTAGCTTTCTTTCCCCACAGCGTGTAGGACTGGGTCACTGAGCTATCTTTGCCACAACCAATCACATAGCTGTATGAACCTTTTGAATATAAGTTAACACATTCTCTGTAGGGCATCAGAACAAGAGCAGTAGGGAGGTTGGTCATTTTGCTTAACTGGCAGGAAAGAGCTGTTCAAAGATGTCTCTGACTGTGTACTTCCCTCCGCCACGTGCTGTTAGCAGAGCACTGTTGCTGATCATGCTCGTGAATGAGTCTCAAATGAAACCGATCAGTAGCCACCACCGCTGATGACACATTCAATGTTGTGGCATCATCAGAACAAGAGCAGTAGGGAGGTTGGTCATTTTGCTTAACTGGCAGGAAAGAGCTGTTCAAAGATGTCTCTGACTGTGTACTTCCCTCCGCCACGTGCTGTTAGCAGAGCACTGTTGCTGATCATGCTCATGAATGAGTCTCAAATGAAACCGATCAGTAGCCACCACCGCTAATGACACATTCAATGTTGTGGCGTTTTTCTTTCTTTTTTAATATATTTTATTGATTTTTCACAGAGAAGAAGGGAGAGGGATAGAGAGTTAGAAACATTGATGAGAGAGAAACATCGATCAGCCGCCTCCTGCACACCCCCTACTGGGGATGTGCCCGCAACCAAGGCACATGCCCTTGACCGGAATCGAACCTGGGACCCTTGAGTCCCCAGGCCACACTCTATCCACTGAGCCAAACTGGTCAGGGCAGTGACGTTTTCATGTGACATTCTAGATCTGCACTGTCGCCACTAGACACGTGATGTTTAAAATTTATACTCATTGAAACGGAATAAAATGAAAAATTCCATTCCTGAGTCCCTCTAGCCCCACTTCAGGGTCCCGGTGGCCACACGGGGCTGCTGGCCGTGGTATCTGACAGGGACTGTGCAGGTGCAGAGCGATGCCATCATTCCAGAAACTCCTACCGTCCCACACGCTTGTAGGAGTCAAGCTGAGAATGAGAAATACCTCCTGGCGTTAGAGACAACTCAGAAATGACACACGAATTAATTTTCAAAGCAAAAGGAGAGAGGGCGCCCCCACACAAATGCTGAGGTTTCTTTCTGCCGGGAAGCTCACGTCGAATGATGTTACACTGAGTAGACTTGTTAGTCGGGCTCGTGCGGACCCTGATGACTGTGAATTAAAGTCTGTGCTCATTTCTCCCCCTCACACACTGAAGGCCAGTAGCGGGTCTGAGAGTGGGAGCCCAAAACGAAGAGGCCAGAGGCAGCTGAAAAAACAGTAAGTCTCTTCCGGGGGCGATGCCTTCACGCGGTCGATGGTAACGTGTCAGCGCGTCTGGGACTGCCTTCGTTGTGTCTCCAGCCTCCCCCAGGTCCCAGAGCCCGCTTCTCTAGCTCACTATCTTGGGTCCCTGTCCAGCTTGACCTGCTGCAGCAGCAGCATTCAGAGCCCAAGATTCTCAGTGTTCGACTCCGAAGTAAGTATTTCCCACCAGCCTGCGCTCCTGGGGGGCGGACCCCACCTTATTCCATCTGTGTCGCCCCGTTAAGTCCAATTACTATTATTTTTTTAAATGTACACAAATGCCAAATATGTAGGCATTTGGTGTTCTATTCGAGTCGAGCAAAGCGCAGGTTTAGATTTGCCTTCATTTCCATCTGTTCTTTGTGTTGGCATGGCACTATTTTATTGTTTGGACACCCGTTGTAATACCAGATTTCACATGGTCATGTCCATGTAATTTTAACATTACAGTTCATAAGCCAGAACACTTTAAATCTTGGCCTTAATGTGAAATTTCTTTATAACATGGATTATATGCTCATGCTTTTAACATTGATTTTAATTATTCTACTTGAGATGCAACTACGTTTGCTTTCTTTTCTTTCTTTTTGAGAAATAATTTTAAAAATCTGTTTTGGGGGCGTGTGGATACCTTGGAAAGTATGGATTTTATAGCCCATCTTCTTAGAAAAATGTATAGCAGCATTTAAAAAAAAAAAAAAGAAAAATGTAGATAGTCAAAACTTTGCACACAGACCCAGGGGTTTCTCATGGTACACAGTTGTCCATGGCCCTTATTAAGAGCCCCCGTTAGGTATTCTCTGTTCTCAAACATTAGTAGTCTTAAGTATTTGGCCTAAGGCACAGTGATTTGAGTTTTTAAAATCCATCTCCTCATTTCCAAAATAGAGTAATGCTTATTCTACCGACCTAGCAGAAGTTATTAGAAAGTTTGCCAAGTCAGGAGTTCAATATAGGCCTTATCAGAGCACGTGCAATTTTCATCTGTGTTCTAGATTCCGAGTTAGAGTTGGAGAAGTGATAACTGTAGGCAAGCCCGCACTTGGTGTCTTGGAAGGCTTTGGTCCTACCTCAGGCCCATGGCCTGCTGGGGAGATTGTTCTCAAGTCCCTCCCCCCGGTCTCAGGGGCCTTTTGGGGGCCTTGGAGAAGCCCCTGATTGATCTTGTCCCTCCACCACCTGCTTCTCTGCTGGTCTCTTTTTTTTTTTTTTTATATATATATTTTATTGATTTCTTACAGAGAGGAAGGGAGAGGGATAGAGAGTTAGAAACATCGATCAGCTGCCTCCTCCCCACTGGGTATGTGCCTGCAACCAAGGTACATGCCCTTGACCGGAATCGAACCCGGGACCCTTGAGTCCACAGGCCGACGCTCTGTCCATTGAGCCAAACCGGTCAGGGCTCTGCTGGTCTCTTGACTGGGATCCAGATGCTGCTGCTTTGCTTGAAGACCCCGACTGCCCATTTTAATGGCCTGGTCCCAGTGTGCAGAAGCCCGCATTTTTCAGCCATGGTGCAACTCATCAGTCTTCCCCTGTACTTACTCTCCCTCTCCTATCCTCAGAGCACTCAAGGTTGGCAACTTCCGGAGGCCTTCAAGGACCTTTCTTTCCCCAGAGTAGAAGCGCTTAGTTCTGCGGGGGGGATGTCTCTGTCATGCCATCTCCCTGCCTTGGCTCTTCCCCAGTAACTTGTGTGGCTTCACTTCCTACCAGGCTTTGGGAGCCGGGCTTGGGAGCTCTTCTCCTGAGTGAGTGTCATCAGAAAGGCACAGTGCTGGGGGCGCCCTCCGTGAGCTGAGCTAGTGGGCAAACCCAGCTTGGGGGGTACAGGCTTCAGACTTGAGCGAGACTCAGGGGGAATTTGGAAAAAATCAGCACAGGGAAATGCTATTCTGAAACCCTCAGATTTTAAAGACTTTTAAAAAGGAGCTATTTTGCCCTAGCCGGTTTGGCTCAGTGGTTGGAGTGTCGGCCTGTGGACTAAAGGGTCAGGGTTCGATTCCAATCAAGGGCACGTACCTCGGTTGCAGGCTGCATCCCTGGCCTAGTCTGTCTCCCCTCTCTTCCACTCTCTCAAAGAATCAGTGGAAAAAATATCCTGGGGTGAGCATTAACAACAACAACAAAAAAGGAACTATTTTTAAAAACTTTTTTTAGGAATTAATTTCAAACTTTGTGTCAATAAAAGCACAAAGACTAGACTGCCTGTGTATTTTACCATTGGTTACCATTCTTGTTATTTCCATTATTGTCATGTTCTTTTTATATATACTAGTACATGTCATGTTTTTCTGAATCGTTTAAGATGCACATCATGGCCTTTTACTCTTAAAATACCTAAGAGTGTATTTCCTAAGAATTAAGGATCTTCTCTTTCATAAGCACAGTACAGTTTTAATATAAATAGATTTAGCATTGCTGAAATACTTGGTTCCAATTCATATTCCTATTTTTGATAATTGACCCAAAAATGTCTTTTCTAACATTTTCCCACCTTCACTAGGAGATTCAGTCAGTGATTAGATATTGTCAGGTTCCCTTTAAAGCCGCAGTTTGCCAACCACGGATCTAGAGCATTTCACAGGCTTTCATTGCTTTTATGACATTGACATTTTTGAAGAATAAGGCCTTACAAGGGACTGGCTCCCCAGAGTCATGGTGGGAATTAGCATTTAAAAGCTTAAAAGCTCCAGAGTATAATGTCTCCGCACAGCCCATCTACAGGGTTGAGAAGTCATCTTCTTCTAACTAACTGACCACTCTTCACTGCACATTCCAAGTGACTTAATATCGCTGATCCTAACTTAACTTTTTTCTCCCTGTTCTTGAAAATCTTAAAACTAATCCATTATTCAGTGTCGTATACACTTCCACACAAAATCAGTCAGGCCTCCGATTATTCAGATCTTCCCAGAATACGTAGGCGTGGCTGGACTTTTTCCTGATTTTTTTGGTTTTCAGGGTTATGGTTGAGAGTCCCAGGTCTGGGGCTGTGATGGAGCCAAACCACTTATTTTCACGGGGCTTCAGTTTCCGTCTCTAGGAGGAGGCCTGTGGACCAGTTGACCTGCTAATTTTTAAAAAAATATATTTTATTGATTTTTTTTACAGAGAGGAAGGGAGAGGGATAGAGAGTTAGAAACATCGATGAGAGAGAAACATCGATCAGCTGCCTCCTGCACACTCCCTACTGGGGATGTGCCC